CCCCCAGGGGGGGCCCCCCGGGTGTTTGTAGCTCGTTGTGTTTGGGGAAAAGGTGGGGTTGTTGTGATTGGGGTTTGGGGACTGCGCCTGGGTCTCCTAAAGAGCATTTTAAATGCGAAAGAAAAGCTAAAAAGAAAAAGAAGTTAAAAAGAAGTATTAGGCAGAAACGGGGGGCCCCTAGGGAGTGCCTGCGAGGGATAGACAGAAATAAGTAATAATAAATGGTAAATAAATAACAAATAAATAATAAATAAATAATAAATAGTAAATAATAAATAAATAAATAATATAAATAGTCAATTAATTAATTAATTAGTCCGTTGGGATGCACAACAAATAGTAGTAAATAAATGAATACATAATTAGATAAAGGAGCAACCAAATTAAATTATAAATAATAAATAAACAATAAACAATAAAGAATAAATAAATAAATAAATAATAATAAATAATAAATAATTAGTAAATAAATAAGAAGACAGCAGCAAAGAGGAAAATAGAAAGAAGAAAGGAAGTCAAAAAGGAATAAAAGGGAAAAAGAATAAAGGAATCAAAAGCATAAAAATAGATAATAAATTAAATAAATAAATAAATAAATAAATAAAATAAACATTTATAAATAAATGAGTAAACAGAATAAATAAGTAAATAAATAAAATAAAGTGCTGCTGCTTGGGTCTTAGTTGAGGTGTACGTACACCTGAAGGCCTACCAATTAACGAGACAAGAAGTTATCGTGTAATTGGAAAAGAGCATCAGCAAATGAGTCTGCAGCAGCAGCAGCAGCAGCAGATGCAGCAGCAGCAGATGCAGCAGCAGCACATGCAGCGGAAATCGCCGCAGCAAGGGAAAGCGGGCACGAGCTGGAGCAGCAGCAGCAGCAGCAACAGAGACGCAGAAGCAGCAGCAGCAGACAAGCAGAAGCAGCAGCAACAGAGACGCAGAAGCAGCAGCAAAAGCGACGCAGAAGCAGCAGCAACAGAGACGCAGAAGCACCGGCACCAGAGACGCAGAAGCAGCAGCAACAGCAGCAGCAACAGCAGCAGCAACAGCAGCAGCACACCCACTCACAGCTGCAGCACATCCACTGGCCGCAGCAGCACAGCCACCAGCAGCACCGTCAGCAGCAGCAGCGCAGCCACCATCTGCAGCAGCACAGCCACCAGCAGCAGCCCCACAAGCAGCAGCAGCAGCAGCAGCAGTAGCAGCAGCAGCAAACTTACTAGCAGCATGCAGAAGGCCCCGCAAGGGTCTTTGGTGAACCAGATCTTCGTCTCCTCCATTGTGGTGTACGTACACCTCAGAAAGAAGCGACAGGCGCTCTAGCAGCTGCAGCAGCAGCAAGAGCCCTGCCCGTGATCAGGGGCCCATGAGGCAGCAGGCGGAGAGCTAAGTGCTCACAGTTGCAGCAGCAGCAGCAGCAGCAGCTGCAGCAGCTGCAGCAGCAGCAGCAGCAAGGTGCGGTACGCTGCCGGTTTCAGGTGTATAGACAGCTACTGGCCTCAAGGCTAAAAGCCCTGAAGAGCAGCAGCAGGAGCAGCAGCAGCAACAGCAGGAGAGGCGGAGTCCCGGCGATTAGCTTTTAAGGTGTATGTACACCCGAAGCAATGGGCTAAATAGAGGGAAGCTCGAAAGAAGCTTAACGCCCCTGGTAAGACCTGCTGCTGCTGCTGCTGCTGCTGCTGCTGCTGCTGTCGCTCGCAGCGAAGCAGCGTCTAGGGTTTAGGGTTTAGAGTTTAGGAGCTCAGACGAATTGAGTGAGCAAACAAACAAATAAATATTTATCTTTGATTTCAAACGGAAAATAATGGGGCCTCAGCTGGCGGTTGCTGCTGCTGCTGCTGCAAAA